AGAAAGACTCTGGCCGTATTGCGAATTTGCGGATATTGACGGAGGTCCAAAGTAATATTCAGGACAATATAGTAGTAGTAATATGTAAATGTAATGTAAAGAATTGTTTTATTGAGCTCATTTTGCTGCTACATACATGATATAGCAATGTTAAAAGTTTCATCTGCGTACAGGTGTAGATAAACGTAGTAATAGTGAATACCAAATACTTTTTTAATAAAAATTATTGGACTAAGCCACTCATGAAATTTAAGCCAACAGCATGCAAGAAAGCATTGCAATACCATTGCTAATAAAGACAAATTATCCATACAACTTATAATTTTTCTTAGACACTAGTAAAAGCGGTTCTTTCAAGGCATGCATAGTGTGCCAAAAGTTCAATTTTGAGCACTAGTGCTGAAAGTGAGACGATGCCAAATTGTTCAGATAAATATTGCAATAAAGAAAACAAAATACGTTTATCTGATCGCACCAGCAACTACTGAACTCAATTACGTGACTTGAATAAAAATAAAATGAAAGTCACTAAGGCTTCTAAAATGTAGTGTATGACACTCGTGGTAGAATGATTTTATTTATCTTGTGGGATAGGCTTAGTGTTGCAATATACCCTAGTCTCAAAACAAAATGCCAGTTTTACCACTCGCTTCATAAATAACTATTAACGATCGCCTTCCTGACACCAGGAGCTGGGGCGGTGCCCCACTTGTGGGAGATACGTGAACGGAGAAAATCCTCATAAGCCGACGTAGCTCGGCGCCAGAACTCGCCAGCAAGCCGAGGAAGACACGGCCGTCTCCCGCGATAAAAATGTGCACTACAATAACGGGTCTTATAGCCTTAACCGTTAACGCTCCCAGGATCATTCAACAATCTTTATTTATTTATTTATTTATTTATTTATTTATTTATTTATTTATTTATTTGTTTATTTGTTTATTTGTTTATTTATTTATTTATTTATTTATTTATTTATTTATTTTCTTATTTTACTTCTCTATATTTTTAAACTCTTTATTTTTCTTCTCTTCCTTACCGTTTTTTTCGCTCGGGAATAGGCTGACTTGGGACACGCGTGCATGCTTCTGCATACACCGGGGCTCAGTAGCATCTAGGTGTCAGGTGCATGTGAGTTATCACGGGATCAACATTTAGCTAGATCCAAATTTTAATCCCCAGGGTTGTTGGTCCTGGGGGTATGGAGGATGAAATGATGATAGTGAGGGATGAAAGGACGATGCACATAAAGACATACACAACACAAGCATGCCGGAGGTCTTCTTCTGTTCCGATCCCGCTACGGTACTTCTGTCCTAGCGATATCGACTATGTGATCGGCTCTTATTCTTTTTATTTTATTTTTCTTATTTTTCTTCTTCTTCTCCTTAGTCATTCCCTTTATTTACCTCATTCACGTTTTTCTCTTCCTCTCCCTCGTCTGTCATTTTTTATTCTGTTTATAACATTTCATTCATGAAATATTTTGAAAATATCACTTGTGCTTTGAAAATTCTCCAATAAATTTATATTTATCCGACATTCATTCATTCATCAATTCGTCACTCGAGAATTTGTCACTTAGTTTATATTTATCGATAAAAGTAATCCTAGAGCACAGTTATGAAAATGTCTCATTAATCAAAATTAATAAAGTTAGTTGATTTTTATGTTCCCTAATTATTTCAATAATGAATTAAGTTCATTTATTTTGTTATTGTACATTTACTGACTATTAATCCAAGACATATTAGGTCACAAATCGTAGACGAGGGAGGAGGAACTTTTGTGCTCTTTCCTGGCAGATTTTAGCAGTAGTCTGGCATTTTCTTTGGATGGAGTATACGCATGATCTGAGCAAAACTGAAATAATATTCATCAATAATATAAATACAGGAAATAATTGTAGACCCCAGTTGAGAAAATACACTAAATCTTTAAAAATATTAAACAAGAATCATGTTAAAATATGTTTAGTATAATATATAATAAAGAAAATATTATTATAATTATTAAAAAGAAGAAAATAAGACCAAATATTAGCTTTTGATAAATAATTATTATCATTCTGTTATCTATTGTTTGTATGTCTATTCTTCTTAGTAAATGTTCAGAGATTCACATGAACGATTAAGCGAGAAACTTCATTGGCGAGATTATTAAATCATTGATTCTCCTTATTCATATAGTGCAAAGAAAAAGAACAAAAGTAGATACCGATCCGGTGGCCGAGATCGCTAATGCAGTAGCGCCGTAGTGATCTCGGATCGGATCATCACGGGTTCGAGTCCTGCCTCGGGCATGGTTGTATTGTGTTCGTCCTCCCCCCCTATCATCATATCGTGTGATTCTCACAGTTACCATACTTATACGAGCAATAATGGTCGCTAATGACCTAGAAGTTTATGATACCTTAAATAAGATAATAAAAAAGTAGATATATTAATGCGTCATCTCTACATTTTGGAAGCAAAAGGAAACAATCAAAGAGCAGACTTTGGCGTGGAAAAATATCTCACTCCTTCTTTGAAGATATGGAGAGAATAATTAAAAGATATCATTACTATCGCTAAATAAATATCGCGTATTCAGCGTCTATTTTCTGCTGTTTTGTCATGAAAACGTCTTTGTCTTTGTATATTACTGATATTCAAATATTGTCTAAGTACATGATCATTTAAAAATTTAAGTAGTAATAATTTTGTCCTGTCCATAATTTGCACCTGCTGTCATTGTGACGATTAAATGCCCAGTATGAAGAGGTTAATTGCTTTTGATTTTTTTATTTACTTACATTCCATTTAGCTTTAATGACTTTTTTACAATGTAGTTCAGGTATGGTACTTCAGAATTTGTTTTTATAATATGGAAGATGTGACCTACAATGTGTTGTAGACAAGACATGCGTTCCCCTTTTCTAGAAAAATCAACAAAAATTTCTAATAGATTTTTTATAAAATCAATATTATGCGGAAAACGTAACCCCTTTCAATACTGGTCTTGTTATCGAATCATTTGCACTCAGCCACTATCCTGTGATGTTCGCGTATTCAGTGAACTGCTTCCCAGGGCTGCGATCACAAACGCAGAGAATGTCGCTCTCTGGAATAGGCTTCACGATAGGATCTGAACTCAACTGTCAGTCACGTTGCAACCATTCTAGGAAGCCGGAAATGGCATAATTAGCGTTTCTCTCTTCGCTCTTTTCTCCACTTCCGTTGAAAATGCTATCACTGACTGCCTCTTTCTTCATCTTTCCCGCTTGGCTTTTCCTAACCCCAATTTTCTCACCAAACCTTTCTTTTTCTGCTTTCGATGAAACTAATTATTTTTTCATACGTGTATTACGCTCGCACCGTAGCGTGGTTGGTGGCTAGGGGACTATCTGTTTCTCGACTCGAGAGACACGGGCTCGCGTCCCGGCGTCGGCGCCCTCTTCGCCAGATGGCGCTCAACGATGCGCTCTCGGCCGCCGCTTCCGCCCGCTGCACTTCCGCCCACGAGCGGCGCTCCGCTTGCGACGGGAGGCTGCTTGGAGGCTTCCGGCACGTACTCACATCACAGGCTCATATCGTTAAATTGTATAAAGCTTATTCAGCTAGCATTGCGGTCTTTGTGAGTGCACAAAAATGAAGGAAAAGTGAAAATTCGCGTTTGTGTTAAGTTTCGTACTTCAGTTTGTCAGAAACATTTCCTTCCGTGTACGAGTAGATGTCGCTATTGAACAATTTATAAGACAAACAACACAAAGCCCCGTAAATATGCTTCTTCTGGATTATAATTTTGTGGAGCATGCTGTACGCGTATATACTCAGCAGGCGTGCACACAACCCGCAACACGTGTTAGGCTGCAACACGCCATATCATCGAGCGCAACTCAAAACCGTTGCGCCCTGGGCCCTTAAAGCTGTTGTTCGTACCCTCGACATGTCGTAAAATAAACAAAATATGTACGAATTTCATTGAAATGTACTTTGTACATGCGAAACAGTTTTCGACTCAATTTCTTGGGTTATTTGGTTTCAAAAAATCTTATAAACTACATATGTAAATACAGGTTTATGCTCTATATTAAATAAGATTGTTTCTTTGAAACAAAAAACTTGCCTCTATATTTATGAGTTTAGGAGAAATGCATATTCAAATCTATCCGCAAACCTTATGACCTAGAGTGATACGATCAGATTGTGTTAAAATGCAAAAATAACAAATGAATTTAGAATTTGAATGCCTGTATGATGTAACGCAATTGAGCCGTCCGAAGTAGGGTTTCAGTTTCAAGCGATTTACAATTTTTTGCTAAGTGTGACGATTTGTACGGATCAAACTAGATACAGAATTATTTGTAATCGACCATTTTATAGACTTCGCTTGGACAAAAACAAATTATTTTTACCTCAAATGTTATAATATTTTAACTTATATTACATATGTTTACCAAATGTGAAAAAAGTTTTCTATTTGAAAATCATTAGTTTTTTTCTGTAATATTGGAATTGCGGTGAGTTTGCGATAGCATTTACAATGAAATAATTATATGAGTCGTCATTACCAACAATTTTAAAGTTTAAAGAATACCACTCGTGTGGATTCCATACAACAGAAAACTTATGATGATGGCTAAGCCATCGAAAGCTGCTTTTGTAATAAACAATATTGTTGGTAATGACGTCATATAATTATTTCTTCTTTAATTCCATTCAATACTCTGCGTTTTGCTGGTATAAGCGATCTAGATGAAAAATTGTTGGAGACTTAATCAGTGGAATCTACAATCCTCAATTCAACTTAAATGAGGTTAAAAAATAGTGCTTAGGTAGATGATAATTATTTTATTTATTATCGAGCTTCTTCCAGTCTTGATCAGAGGATATCTCTCTCGATCAGAAAAATACGTGTTTTTTTTAAATATTTTCTTCTACACAACTATCGGCCTTGTTATGCGGCCTTGAGACATTCTCACAGTATTTTCTTTAAAAATTGTTTGCTCATTGTTTCAGATGGATTGGTTCTTCTATCGTTTGTTCATCGTGTAGCTACTCCTTACTTTACAACCGCGCCGTCGGAACTCTCGGGCCGGGGAAAAGTTTCTGCGGTATTCCCCAGTTCGTCCGCTTAGGCTGTTACTACTAGAATCGTGAGTTATTCGTGAAGCACGATTGCTGAAGGATTCCGGACTCCCCGGTTTTTCTATTTCTGAACAGTATTTATGACTACGAGACTAATTATATCGAAAAGAAACAGTTTTGAGACGTTTTATTTCTGGCATTTGTGAATAATTTACAACAATTTTTAATCTCAATCTTCCCCCAGGTTTGACCATTTCGTAAGGTGGAGTACACTCCTTAACTGGTGGAAGATCAGTTACATGTCCTGCTTCTGCACGCATTATTAATTAACTATTATAAGAATCATATCAAACACTTCGCACAAGGAATTAATTAAAAATAGTCTTCACCCCAGTGTTAAACATATCAAGGGCTTATCTTAGAAAGTATATTTCGGAAAGAAGCACGTTTACCCACTTTGTCGAAAAACATAGCAGTGTACATAAAAGTGCTGAAACCTACAAAGCTCAAGTAGCAACAAGTTAGGGGGTCTTGAATTTGAATCAAGAAACCTGATTGTGAGTTAATCAATTAAATTGAAGCAAAAACAGGCTGACGATGGCTTGGGTTTAAGCACTCAACTGTGGAAGAATGGCTGAGTTGGAAAGAGAGTATGCAGATTTTTTGCCTTTGTTCCATCAGTTGCGATTCGGATTCCGCCGGAGGTATTAAGATTTGTAAATTCTCTTTCCTGTCCAATGAATGGCAAGGGGCTTTGCTTAAGGCCAATTCTTCACTTCCGTTCGAAGAGTTACGGGTTCGTATTCTGCCACGAAGGTAAGCACTTGTCTCTTATGCTTCCATTGGATGGTGCTCGGGAGAGCTTCTCATTAATTTCACAGCAGAGGAACCCCTGTTTAGGTCTCTGTTTAGTTCATAGTTTGATGTTCTCTCTTTCGAGAGTTTAGAGACATTTACTGGAGATGTCTACATTTATCAAAAGTCTCTGACAAATACCTTTTCCTGTGTTAGGGTATTCGATGCAAATAGAAAATTACCCACTTCGCAAAGCCTTGACTCGACAAGTGTAGACGCAAGAAACGAAACCAAGAAGGAAAAACCAACCAATGAAACGTACAGAAAACGAAACAGTGCCGCTGAAAACGTGTCATGACGCATTCGACACCATTCAACTATTATAGAGCAGCAGGCCAGCGAACGACTTGCAGCAGACGTTGAGTATTCCGTCTAAAGACACGCGAAACAGCGATCGGGGCGGCTGGCCGCGGAATGTTGACGTCACTGAGGAGGGGGCGCGGACGGGGCAGCGCGAGCACGCTCGTGACTGGCGGCGGCGGCGGCGCACGACCTCGCGGCGGATGCGCACTAGGAGTCGCCGGCGGTGGGGGCGGGGGCGGGAGCGGTGGTGGTGGTGGCGGTAACGGTAGCATCGGGAGCGGGGTGGGGGTGGGGGCGAGGTCGTTTGGGGCGGATCACCTCTGTTGGCAGCCCAAAACCTGACACTCGTTCAGCCCATTTGTTTATTGTGTGAATTTCATACGCAGAGAAAATAGACGGTTTCACGCCTGGTCCCCTCAGCCGCAGTAGCCCAGTCAAATTAAACCAACGAGTGGTGATCGAAGGGGAAAAAATCCCGGAGTTCTGAAACTTGGTATGATTGTATGTTGGTAACTTTCACCCATTATACTAACGGTCCTGTAATAGGGTAGGGATAAGTTGTGGGTAGGAGGTAGGGATGGCAAAAAACACAGCTTTTTAAAACCTCCATGTTATCGAATAGAAACATTGAAATATTTTCATCTAAGTTTTGCGTTTTATATCTTCTTTACATCGATAGTGGTTTTAAAAGGGCTTAAATATTTATGTTACAAAAAACCTCTAGTAGTTTTTTTTAAATAAAGGAGAATGAGAGAAATTAAAAGATGGAAGGGAAGAGAGTGTAGTGCGGTTGTAGTAGATGTGCCAGGACATCTATTTAGTATTTACTTATTTACGTCAAAAACAGTTGAAAACTGTATGAGGTGGTACGGGGAGAAGTAGATTTTGTGCACGTTTTGATAATTGTGTGATCCCTACCATAACCCATACACTAGTTGAATATTGAATATAGGAAGAAAGGGGCGTTTTTTGCAAAGATTGTTTACAAAATATTTGCTCCGTTGTAATAAAGTATATTATCAAAGATAAATCAGCCATGGATTTGGGCTCTTATCTCCCACCGTGTCCTTTGTGAAGGAATAATACTTCCTGCCTGGACAATATGGGAACGAACATTTGAAAACCTATATTTCCCACTGACGTGCACAGATAATGAAGTTACATTTACGTCCAGAAGCAAAACAAGGGACCATCTCCGCATTTGCTCAACGATCAGGGAGACTGGATGAAACATCTTTAAGAAAAGAAAATATGGCTGTTTTCGTAGATTTTGATTTTCAAAATCTATGTTGGCAATTTTAAAACGCGTCGTGTTTACAAAGGAAGGTACCATTCTTACGCAAAAATGGCTCAAATGTTTGAAAATACTAACAAAACAAATTGGCCGATAATTTTGAATTTCATTTTTGTTGCATTTTTTGAAGAGCGTCTTAATATCTGTTTTAAAAATATATTGAAACAAAGTTTTTGCAATTGAATTGCTTTTCCGTGAATTATTTAATATTATTTTTGAAATATTCTTGTATAGCATATTTAGTATATTGTGGAACGATTGAGTATATAGTGATTTACTATTGCAATTCCTTCGGGGAAGGAAGGAACAAGAAATAAAACCATTTAAATATAAACATGAAATGCCATTTTACGAACTAAGAAAATATACCCAGTACATCAATAACGCCAAACACCGTATACATAATAATTTTAATAGTACAATGAGATAAATGTTGTTTTGTTTACACGCGTTAGATAAATACTCTTTGTTTACACGCGCTGATAATTAATTCGTAGCTAATAATATTTTCATCATATTTGCCACAAGAGCTAAACTGACTATTACAAATTTCCAATTACAAATTAAACGAAAACGGAAAATGTAAATATCATACGTGATGTTTTTATAATATCGTATCTCCCAGATGAATTGATAAATCATATCTTTCTAATTGGTGTCGACATTGCTTGTGATACCAATCCGACTTCACCTATCCGACTGGTCCAGCAATCAGATGCTCCGTTCATTAAATTTCCATGTGTTCCAGCTTGACGAGTATCTTCTGCAGCAGTGTCTTTGTCAGAATTTTCTTTCGGAGGAAATCCGAGAAGTTTAGATTTCATCGGATAACATTCTCAATAATTAGGGAGAAGTTTTTACTTAATCTCTCGGAGTGTTAACGACTTGTAATCTATTTTATCTATCGATCTGGCTGATGTTGCGACCATCGAATTTGATATGCGATTCTTTACTTTTGGGGGTATTTTACATAAAGCCCCTGAAATATTTCCACAATTTTCAAAAAAATAGCCCATTGATTTTGATTAAATTTTGTTGTTGGATAGTCGACGTTTAAAAGAATGGCGCAGGTCTCATTTTTGTTGAAAACTGATTTTTCGAAAATTGAAAAAATTCAAAACATTTTTGGCATCTTCTTACAATTATTATAATGAAGACACGATTTATTTTCTTAGTGAAAAGTGTTCATCAATAAAAGATCTTTAAATAAAGTCAAGTTAAATTTTTGGAAAACATAGGCAATTTGTATTTCTTTAAACCACTTTTTCTTAAAAGACGCACGTTTTTTGATTAAATTGTTACATTGCATAGATAGCATAAATAACACTTAAGCGAATGGTGCAGGTCTCATGTTCATTAAGATTCGTGATATTGCGAAAATAAAAAAAAATAAAAAAACTTCGACGTCTTCTTACAACTACAATTGTGAAAATGCAATGTTTTTCCTGAATGAAATGTGGTTATCAATAATACAACTTCAACTAAGATCAGGGTCAATTTTTTGAAAATATGAGTATTTTTGTGTGAATTGGCGACAAAATGAAATGCCCGCTGCGATTTTACTGCGCTTCGTGAACGATTCCTCAGAGTTGGATGCTTCGTAAGTCCGAATTTGGATATTATTTAACAATAGTAGAAAAAAGATTGCATAACTATTACTAAAGGCAAAAAATTGTGTTGTTTTAACACCTCTAATTATATTTGAGGTTTTGTTTAAACGGTCATCAACGAAATATTTTTCAATATATTATTCCCTCGATTAAAGTGTTTAGAGAAAATTTAATTCTTCAGAAAATGATCTTCCACATCCTCAGAAACTAGAGATGCTACATTCTTTCTCGCATTGTGAGGGACGGTTACCTAGTATTATGTTTCAATTTCTAGCCTCACTTCACACATCACATGAAAAAGTCCAAACAAATTCAAACGAAGTTCGTGCCGTGCATATCTGCAATTTTTTTTATAGTCAGGAATAGAAGCTCTTTTTTGTTTCATTAAAAAAACACGAATAGATCTCAACTGTTATATTATTTGGAGCACATTATACAGACAAGCAAGGATAATTTCACATATAAATGGAACATCCATAACTGCATGCTATCTAAAGCATACTAAACCACGGTATCATTGTGTAATGTCCATATTATGCACACTGCTTGAATATATATTCTTCCCGACTATTCTATTGTTGAATGTACTATTTTACTGAACGTAGGGAAATTGTAACATTAAAGTTAAGTGAAAACACCTTCTTATCTCATCTCTCTTCCATCCATGTCTCCGTAATGAAATGGATGACAATGAAACTCTCGGAATAACTTCTCGAACTGCCATATCGCAGCATCGTATGGCAACGACCCGTGAAATATAATTCAGTAATTCCTCATAAATAACTCACTCTATTACTATTTAACTAATTAAATAACTCCTCCTAGATAACTAAATAACGCCTTATCATTAAATATAACTAAATAATTCTTCCTAATGACTGTCTTAATATTTTAAAATGAAGATTGAATTCCAATGGGATTCCTTATGTCTTTCTATTTGTTTCTGTCTGACGTGGCCACAACC